ACCTCAAAGGAACTCAGTTCCGTCTGCAAAATGGGAACAATCCCGGACCCCACAGGGCTGGAGGTTTGGCTGAGATAACTGGGCGGTGCCTGCTTCTGCATGGAAGACCCCCCTCCGGCCCCCCATATCGGCTCCCTGAACCCCCACAGCCAGTGTGGTCTCCATCGCTTCTCAGCGCCCGCCAGCTGCTCGGACCCGGGTGTGGCGTCTGCAGAAACCTGGTGGGCTTCCTCGGGGGAAGGCGAATGTCCGTCCATGGGGGCGGGGACATGGCGTCTTCCAGACCATTGTGGGGGGGGCGGGGGGGGTCCTGACCCGCCTCCTTCAGAAACATGTCAGGGTCCTCGGCCCTCGGTGTTTTTTCCAGAGACCTGTCCCCACGAGTTCCCGGCATTAGGAAGAAGGAAAAGCGGTGAGCAAGAGGGCCGGCTGGCTCAGTGGTTAGAGCGTCGGCCGGAGGAAGCAAGGGTCTCGGGTCCTCACACTTCCATGCCCTCCGCAGCTGACCGGAGGGGCCGGGGGTGGGTGAGGGTAAGCGCCAGCCACTCAGACACAGCTGGTGAAGCTGCATTGAGAGAGAGAACAAAGAATGACGAGAGACTCCCCAGATTACGAGTGTGGGTTACAATAATCGCTAAATTACAGAGCTCCAGCTTTATTAGACACACGCCCCTGCTTCCCTGGCTCTCGGGGCTGTGCTGAGCCGACAAAGCCGGCAGGCTCCGTGGGAAGCCGGCAGGGGCGGAGGGGGCCACGGGAGCCCGTGCGGGTGAGGCTGGAGCCGAGAGCTGGCCACCCCCTGCCCCGCTCCCCGAGAGCCAGAGCCGCAGGGACTGGGCAGCTGGATGGTGGCATTTTTCAAACGTGCAGACGCGCCGTGGGCCATGCCGGGTCACGGACGTCCTGAGCTTGTCAGCACCGGGTCTGTGTCGGCACCGGGTCCGGTTCCGTGTCAGCACCGGGTCTGTGTCGGCACCGGGTCCGTGTCAGCACCGGGTCCGGTTCCGTGTCAGCACCGGGTCTGTGTCGGCACCGGGTCCGTGTCGGCACCGGGTCCGTGTCGGCACCGGGTCCGTGTCGGCACCGGGTCCGTGTCGGCACTGGGTCCGGGTCCGTGTCGGCACCGGGTCCGGGTCCGTGTCGGCACCGGGTCCGCGGACGGGGGGCCCTTCCCCAGGCGTCTGCTCTTCCTATCGTCACCAGTCACAGCGGCAACATCTCCGGCTCCGGGCAGCGCCTGGTCCGTGAGAACGCCTCTCCCTCTGCGAACTGCGGCCTCCTGGTCTGTAGTTCTCATCTCCACACGCCGGCTCACCCCTCACTGCCTCCTGACAGGCACGGACGCCTGCCTTTAGCATGTACACACACCACGTCCTGGCCTCTCTCCGAGCATCTGACCCCCCCCCCCCCCCCCCGGCGGCGGCGAACTGAGTCACAGCCCAGACCCAGCTCACCTGCGTGTTCCAGCGACTCCGCCCTGTGAGCGCCCCGGGGAGGGGGGAGCGGGCTGTTTTCCCGGGAGAAATGTATTTACACGACACACCAGTTTCCCACACACGACGTTCGAAGTGAATAAAACTGTAAGACATGCAAAGCAGCAGAGAGGGGGCCCATGGTCAAGAGAAAAACCATCAGTTGGCAGACCCACAGCTGGCGGAGACCCGGAGTCAGGGGACAAAGTGTAATTAGGCAGCGCAGGATCGGGTGGGGGAGGCAGGCAGGTGTGCGAGGGGGCGGGCAGGGAGGGCGGGCACCTCGCCGAGCACCGCCTTCGGGAAAACCACGGTCGGGTGAGAAGACCAGGGGCCAGAGCCGAGGTTCCCTGGTGCCTCAGGCCTCCTTTGCGAGGCGGGCGAGTGCAGGTCTGCAGCCGCTCCTGGCGCTCATGCAGCCACGCCCACGCGCGTGGGAGGGCGGCTCTGGCTCTCCTTACCGCCTTTCGCATGCTGGTGTCACTCACGGCTGTGCTCCTGCCGGCGTGGCGGCAGAGGGCACACCCACGGCTCGTCTGGGTTCAGCTGAAAGGTTGGCGTCCTCTGTCCTCACTCCCCAGGGCCGTCCCCAGACCCAACGCCGGCCGGGGGCCGAGGGCCTGTGCGTCCCCCACACTGTGCGCCTCGGGGTCATGCATGTGTACCGGAGTCTCAGGGAGCACACCCCACGCAGCCCTTCCTGGGCAGACTGACCCCGAAGTTACTCATGGGGACGTGGAGAGGCTGGCAGGGCGGGGAGAGGCAATGAGCAGTGGCTCCCTCACTGACAGCTCTCCAGTAATTTAGTTTTTTGTTTTTTGTGTTTTTAAAAATATATATTTTATTGATTTTTTTACAGAGAAGAAAGGAGAGGGATAGAGATTAGAAACATCGATGAGAGAGAGACATCAATCAGCTGCCTCCTGCACACCTCCTACTGGGGACATGCCCGCAACCATGGTACATGCCCTTGACTGGAATTGAACCTGGGACCTTTAAGTCTGCAGGCTGATGCTCTATCCACTGAGCCAAACCAGTCTCGGCCAGTAATTTAGTTTTTGAATCAAGATGGTTCCAGGCCCGAGTGCTTTATAAAAAATTTTATTTATTGATTTTTACAGAGAGGAAGGGAGAGGGATAGAAACATCGACGAGAGAGAAACATCGATCAGCTGCCTCCTGCATGCCCCCTACTGGCGATGTGCCCGCAACCAAGGTACATGCCCTGGGCCGGAATCGAATCTGGGATCTTTCAGTCCTCAGGCCGAGGCTCTATCCACTGAGCCACACAGGTTTTGGCACTTATACTCCTGATTGGCATTCACCACAGCGCCTCCTCCAGTCAGGAGGGAAGGCCTTTCCGAGGGGCTCCATTCCTGGCAGCTTCTCCGAGGCCCCGGAGAGGTGGCTGCTGTGCAGCCGGACGAGGCTCCGACCCCAGGAGGGCTGCCCGGGCCAGAGGCCTGGGTCCCCCAAAGCCAGGCTGACTGCTGGCAAGCAAGGCCTGGCCGCAGCGAGGGAGATGGGCTGGGCCGGCCAAGGGCCCCCTGCTGGGATGGGGCAGAGCCCATGGCTCTAGTTCTCTGGCCGTTTGGAACCCAGCCCAGCGGGGGGGCCCGGGCACAGGGATGTCTGCCCAGCGCAGGCACAGAGGAAGCAGCGGGGCGACCCCTGGGTCCCACCTCCTTGGAGCCCGGCTCTCCTGGACCTCGGCACGGCAGCTCAACAATTCCTTCCTGAGGCCGCACTGGCCAGCCCCTCCCACTCCTCCTCCGAAAGGCCCTTCACCTGAAACAGGCGCTGGGCGCGCTTCCTAAGAAAACGTATTTCCAGTGATTTCAGAGAGGGAGACATGTCAGTGGTGAGAGAATCACCGATCGGCTGCCCCACACGGGATGGAGCCCTGACCTCGGGTCAGAGGTGAACCCTGAACCAATGGGCCGCGCTCTTCGGTCACCCCCCTCCCGATGAGCACCTCCGAGACCCGGAGGAGCCAGGAGCCCCCTGCCCCGCCGCACGGGGCCGCCAGCCGGGAAGGACCGCACACCGAGCCCAGGGTTTGCATTTGGAACATTTATTTCAGGAAATACATTCCCAGCACTTTGTCATTTTTACAAAAAGACGGATTCTCAGGAGGCACCTAGCAAAGGCCACTGTGGAGCGTCCGGGGAGGGAGGGCTGGCTGGGCCGGAGCGGGGAGCGCAGGCGGCCGGGGGGCTGCGGGCCCCGGGGCTGGAGGCCGGCCCGCGGGCGGGGTGCGCCCGGGGAGGCGCCCATGTCCCGCCTGACACTGGACACGGACACGCCCTTCAACATCGTGGTTTTTGGCAAAAACATGGCAAGTCGGCAAGTAAACGGTTTCACCGAGGGGCCCCTCCTCCGTGGGCGGGGGCTGACGCAGGCGCACACACCGGGGCACGCGGGCAGCCAGGGTCTGTCTGCACCCCGCTTCCCCGCTGCACCCCCGGGTCTGCAGGCGGCCCGCACCCATCTCGAGGCAGGAGGCAGCCCGCTGGGCACACACACAGGCCCTGCTGGTCCCCGTGGGGAGGCTGAGGGAGCGGGGGTCACTGCCCGGGCTGATGGGACATCCCTTCCCATTGGGGGGGGGGGAGCGCAGGCCCCGGCACACGCAGGGAACAGGAAGTCAAGGCCTCTCACCTGCCAGCCGGCAAGAGTGTGGCCAGGGCTGAGCGGGCATTGGTGGCCTGGCATTCATGACCAGAGCATCCGGGCACACAGCTGTCCAGAGACAGGCCTCAGCGCCCCTGCTCAGTCGCACAGGCCGGGGGGGTGGGGACCAAGGCCATGGGGCCACTGAACGGCCAGCCACGGCCCAGAGGCCCCTTCCTCACTCCACTCCCCCTGGACTCACTCTCTTGACCTTCCTAAAACGGGGATGGGGGGATCTTTTCTTCCTTTGAACCCTCAATCAGAGCCCAGCCGGAGGGGGACGGCAGGTGCCGCAGGGCAGCGCGGACACCCTCCCCTCCGGCCCGGCTCCGTTCCCGTCGGAGGGACGGCGGGCTGCGGGTTCGCGGGGGCGGGAATAAAGGCACTTCCTGCTCCAGGACGGGCCGCAGGCGGGGGGTGGGAGGACGGGCGGCAGCCGGCGGGCTCGCCACGTCTAAGCAATTGGCAACTGGCATCTCATGGAGTTAATGTCTCCCCGCGGGGGGCGGGGACGGGTTGGGGGGCTGAGTGATGTGGTCTGAGTCATGGCACGCCCTGGGAGAGGGCGGAGGCAGGAAGGGGGTCCGGGTCCCCCGGGGGCTCCGTCCCTGCTGGGCCCGCCCCCGGCATGGTCCAGGGGCTGAGACGGCGGGGGCGTGGGGGCGGGGAGGCCAAGAGCAAGAGCAGGAGGCCTGGGCCGGCCTCCCCCTCCCCCCGGGCTGGGCCGGGAACAAGGGTCGTGGGGCACAGCTGTCTGTCCGGGCATCGTGGGCGCGGAGAGCGATGCCGATGAGGGAGGGATGTAAGAGAAGGGGGGGGGGCTGGGGCTGGAGACGGGAGGGGGCGGCGGCGGCGCCTACATCTCCTGGGCGCCCGGGCCCCCGTCCTCCACGCCGTTGGCCACGTTGCTCTCGTGCAGGCGCTTCACACGGTACGCCTCGAAGTGGATGCTGCTGGTGATGTCCTTGATGTTCTGCATGTGCGTCCTGCGGGGGCGGCCGCGGCAGGTGGCAGGGCGCAGGGCGGGTGCTGGGCCTGCCTCCCGCCCCCCTCCGCCAGCCTGGACTCCGCCCCCCCCCCACCGCTCCGCTGCCCCCGCCCCGCCCCGCCCCGCCCCACCCAGGCCTCACCTGATGAGGAGGTCCCGCAGGTAGGCGAACTCACAGTGCAGGATGTTCTCCACTGGGGGGAGACAGAGAGCTTAACGCCACGGAGCCCCCCGCCCCGCCCCCGCCCCGGCAGCTGGTGCCCAGAGGAACCCGGGCAGGTGGGCAGGGGAGAGGGAGCCCTGGCACCCCACAGGCACGTGGCGCTGCGGGTACGGGGCAACTGACAGGGCTGGCTCGGCTCTTGCTCCCCAGAAGGTTCTGGAAGAGCAAGGAGATGGCACAGGAACAGGCCAAGAAACACAGGACAGAGCCCCTCTGCCCCTCCCTCCGCTTCCTCCTCGGGAAACGGGAGAACCATGGGGTGCGGTGAGCTACCTGGTGCCCGCCCTCCTACATGCCCGTGGGGGGAGGCACAGTGGGGGCGCACAGGCATGAGGCACGAGCACAGGGCTTTCGCAGGGGCCCCGGGAGCTGGGGGCGCACGGGCACTGCCACCTCAGCACCCCCAGTCCCAGGAGCTGCCCCGAGGCCCCTCCCGTGAGCGGGCGCCAACCACACAGGCACAGCGACAGGAAACCGGCCCTGCTCTTCCCCAGTGCCCCCTCCAGCTGCCTGCGGGGCCGAGCTGACCGCCAGGGGGCAGCAGAGGCTGTCCATCACCCGGCGCCCTCTGCCCCTCCCAGGTCCCCACTGCCCTGGTCTCATCTCAGAGGTCGCCCCCCCCACCAGCCCCCAACGCGCCTCCATAAAGAGGTCCGTAAACAGCAAGATCTCAGTTAGGGAGGGGATGGAAGAGGAGGGGCCAGGACAGGGCAGAGGCTGCTGAGAGGGACAGGGAGGAGCTGAAGATGGCCCAGCCCGCAGGGCAGACGTGGCAGACACCCAGCCTGCACCTCCCCGCCAGCCCCTCCGTGGGCACCCTCTGCCAGCCTCTCTCCGGCGGCTGCCAGGGCGGGTGGCCCGGTGCGTCCCAGCGCCGGACAGGGTGTGGCCTCTGCAAGGGGCAGACGCGGCCACAGGGCGGCGCCGCAGGACCGAGTGAGGACCCTGTGAGGGACCCCCCACGCCCGCCGTCCTCCCTGGTGCTTCAGAGGTCCGGGGAGGCCCGGCTCCCGCGGCTCAGCCCCTTGCCTCCCCCGTGAGCCCCCTCTGGTGGCGGCCGGGGGCAGCGCGAGGGACGAGGTTCAGGGCTCGGCCAGCTGGCGGCTCTGGGGGGTGGGGGAGCGGGGTGGGGTGGAGGCGGCTTTGCTTTGCTCTGTCCGGGGCCAGCACAGCGGCGCGTACCTTCGATGGTGCCCCACTTGGTTTTCCGGCCGAGGATCCGCTTCCCGTTGACCTGGTACTCGTGGTCGCTGCCCACCACGGCGAACGGGATCATCTCCTGGGGGCGGGCGCGGTCAGACGTGGGCCCAGGAGGAGCTGCCCGGGGCCCCACAGCCCAGAGGGCGTTCTCAGGGCTCCAGCCCCCCCATTTCCCTCAGACCCGGAGGGCAGGAGCCACCCCCCACCCCCAGCCGCGGGCACAGCTCCGGGCGTCACGCACCCGGAACTTCTCGTTCACCAGCCGGTCCTCTGCGTCCTCGTCGAACTCCTTCTGGGGGTACACGTCGATGCCGTTGGACAGCAGGTCGGCGGTGATCTGGGGGTTCGGGGGAGAGATGGGGCACCGTCCACGTGGCAAGCCGGCCCTGCCACGGCCAGTGTCTGCCTTTGCCACGACCCTGGAGTGGAGGAGGGGCAGCGCAGGGGCCGGCCAGGAGACCGGTGGCTGCCCGAGGGGGGGACGGAGGCGGGGGATGAGGGGAGCCCTACCCGCTGCTTGAAGTAGACCCTCTCCTCCAGGGTCAGCGTGTCGGCCTTGGCGATGACCGGCACGATGTTGACGACTTTGCTCAGGCGCTTCATGAACTCAATGTCCAGGGGCCTGAGGCTGGAAGGGAACAGGCGGGTGGGAGTGAGGTCGGAGGACCCGGGACCGGAGAGAGGGAGGGAGGGAGGGAGGGTCGGTCACTGCCTCCGCCGGAGAGAGCCGGGGCAGCGTCCCAGCCCCAGCCCCGGCCCCGGCCCCGGCCCCGGCCCCGCCCCACGTACGAGTGGCCGGTGGCGGGGATGAAGTACAGGCAGCAGTGCACACGCGTGTCCGGGATGCGCTTCTTGCGGTTGATGTTCACTTCCTCCTGCAGGTACTTCTCGTACTGGTCGTTGATGAACTTCATGATGGGCTGCCAGCTGCGGGGGCCGGGGGGTCAGCCTCAGGCTCCGCCTGCCCAGCTCGGCAGCTCCCCGGGCCCCTCGGCAGCCCCCCACCCCCAGGGCCCCTCTTCCCGAGCCGGGACCACAGCCTCATCTCAGCCTGGCTCAGGCGGAGCCGGGCCGCGGTCAGCAGCCTGGAGGAGGCCCCGCCCGCGCGGCCGCCCCTCACCAGTTCTCGTTGTTGATGTGGTCCCCGAAGCCCGGCGTGTCGATGACCGTGAGCTTCATGCGGACTCCCTTCTCCTCGATGTCTGCGGACACAGCACAGGCTGAGCGGCCGCCGCAGCCCCGGCGAGGCCCACGGGGGCGCCCTGGGTGACCGTGAAGACAGCCAGGCTGCACCGGTGACACGAGGGCCTGCATCGCGGGCGTCCAACAGGGCCCGGAGGCCCCGCCTGCGCCCTCTGGGGGGACTGAGCTGTGAGCCGGGCCTGACGGGGCCCACGGGCCCTGAGAGCCGCCCCGCACCCCGGCCCGGAGTTAATGCGGAGAGGAGCTGCCACAGGTGCGGGGGCGGGCCTGGACCGCCGCCCCCGCCGCTCACCGTGCGTGATGGACTTGATCTCGATGGTCTTGGGGATGCGCTCCTCTGCGCTGGGCGGCTGCACCGACTTCCGGCTGATCTTGGACTTGAAGAGCGTGTTGATCAGGGTGGACTTCCCCAAGCCGCTCTGCCCTGTGAGAACGGCCGCCAGCGGCATCCGGTCAGGGGTTCAGGGCCCGACTCTGCAGTGTCTGGGCACCACCCCGCACCCCTCGGGGAGGGGGGGGGGGCCTCTGGTCAGGGAGAGCCAGGCCGCGGCCGAGCTCCCCCAGCTGTGGCTGGGCCCCGCCTCTGACCACAGGGGAGCACCCTCCGGCAGGTCCCAGCTCCCTCCCGAGAGGCAGAGATGCAGAGCTCCTGGGTTCAGAGGCAAAGCTCCCCGAGCCCCCACTAGGACAGGGCCAGAGGGCCGCCCCACGGAGGGAGGCCACGGCGGCCGCCCACGCCGCTGGGCTGTGGTCCAACCCGGGCGGGCTCCCGGCCTCCGGTTATCCGGGGGAAAGGCCGGCGGCTCAGCCCACAGCGGTGACCGCCAGCCTCGGCGGAAGGTCACGGCTTCCTGGTGCCGAAGGCCCGGGCCTGCTGGGGTGGGGTCAGCCCCGCGGGACTGAAGGCCAGGGTTCGAGTGGGAGCCAGGGGACACTGCCAGCCTGATCGCCCCTAACTGCCCCCCGCTGGCCTGGTCACTCCTAACTGTTCCCCCCACCCCGCTGGCCTGGTCACCCCTTAGGGCCCCCCTGCTGGCCTGGTCACTCCTAACTGTCCCCCCACCCCGCTGGCCTGGTCACTCCTAACTGCCCCCTGCTGGCCTGGTCACTCCTAACTGTCCCTCCTGCTGGCCTGGTCACTCCTAACTGTCCCCCCCACCCCGCTGGCCTGGTCACTCCTAACTGCCCCCTGCTGGCCTGGTCACTCCTAACTGCCTCCTCTGTTGACCTGGTCACTCCTAACTGCCTCCTCTGCTGGCCTGGTCACTCCTAACTGCCTCCTCTGCTGGCCTGGTCACTCCTAACTGCCCCCTGCTGGCCTGGTTGTCCCATGCAGCCTGCTAACCCGGGGAGGCCGCTGTTCAGAGCCTGTCTGCTCCCCGGGGACTCCAGAGGGGGCAGTGCCGCTCTGAGGAGCTGGAACCCGCAGGCTGGCACAGGGATGCACACTTCAGGCCACCTGCCCCCGTCCCGCAGGCCAGGCCGAGCCCCCGTCACAGAGAGGGCGGGCCCGGGGATGAGGGCCGGGGAGGAGGGGGATGAGGGCCGGGGAGGAGGGGGATGAGGGCCGGGGAGGAGGGCCGGGAGGAGGGGGATGAGGGCCGGGGAGGAGGGCCGGGAGGAGGGGGATGAGGGGGATGAGGGCCGGGGAGGAGGGGGATGAGGGCCGGGGAGGAGGGGGATGAGGGCCCGGGGGTGAGGGGGATGAGGGCCGGGGAGGAGGACCCGGGGAGGAGGGGGAGGAGGGCCGGGGAGGAGGCCCGGGGAGGAGGGCCGGGGAGGAGGGGAATGAGGGGGATGAGGGCCCAGGGAGGAGGGCCGGGAGGAGGGCCGGGGAGGAGGGGGATGAGGGCCGGGGAGGAGGGGGATGAGGGCCGGGGATGAGGACCCGGGGAGGAGGGGGAGGAGGGCCGGGGAGAAGGCCCGGGGATGAGGGCCGGGGAGGAGGGGAATGAGGGGGATGAGGGGGATGAGGGCCCAGGGAGGAGGGCCGGGAGGAGGGCCGGGGAGGAGGGGGATGAGGGCCGGGGAGGAGGGGGATGAGGGCCGGGGAGGAGGGGGATGAGGGCCGGGGAGGAGGGCCGGGGAGGAGGGGGATGAGGGCCGGGGAGGAGGCCCGGGGAGGAGGGGGAGGAGGGCCGGGGAGGAGGGGGAGGAGGGCCGGGGAGGAGGGGGATGAGGGCCGGGGAGGAGGGTCCGGGGAGGAGGGGGATGAGGGCCAAGGAGGAGGGGGAGGAAGGGGATGAGGGCCGGGGAGGAGGGGGATGAGGGCCGGGGAGGAGGGGGAGGAGGGCCGGGGAGGAGGGGGAGGAGGGCCGGGGAGGAGGCCCGGGGAGGAGGGTCCGGGGATGAGGGCCGGGGATGAGGGCCGGGGAGGAGGGGGATGAGGGCCGGGGAGGAGGGGGATGAGGGCCGGGGAGGAGGGGGAGGAGGGCCGGGGAGGAGGGCCGGGGATGAGGGCCGGACTCACCGACCACCATGATGTTGAACTCGAAGCCCTGCTTCATGGCCTTGCGGCGCATCTGCTCCAGGATGGAGTCGATGCCCACGTAGCCGAAGTCGGCGGGCGCCTTCTCGCTCCGCGGCCCCGGCGCCGGCTTCAGCCCGGCGTCTCGGGGGGCGTCAGCCATGTCGCCAGCGCCGCCGCGAGCTGCCTCGGGGGCTGCGGGGAGGGGCAGCGGCGTCAGGGGTGAGGTCGCCGCAGGTGCCCCAGCCCCTCCCTACATCCGCGGGCAGCTCCAGATGGAGAAACTGAGGCTCAGCTGCAGAGACCCCGAGGAGAGCCTGGCCCCGAAGCCCTCACGTGCCCACGGGGCGCCACCCGGATCCTCGGACCCTCCCGCCTCCGCCCGCCGCCCCGCCCACCTGCTCATCCCGAGTCACCCCAGACCCGAGGGGGCAGCGAGAGCCCAGGTGGGCTCCGTCCCGCCCCCTACCGGACCCGCCGCTGGCGGGAGAGGGCAGCCTCGTGGGGGTGGAGGGCCCACGGTGCGCCTGCCACGCCTGGGGGGTGCGCGTCCCGTGCCTGACAGCCCCCCACCCCAGCCCCGGCCGCCCCTGGACTGGACCCCAGGGGCCACCCTGTCTCTGAGCCCAGCACCGAGGCCCCGCCCGGCCCGGAGGTTCTGCTTCCAGGGCAGTGGCCAGGCGGCAGGCGGGGCTGAGCTTCTCACAGTAACTCCCGCTCTGCGTGTGCGGTCAGACCCTCCCCCCCACGGCCCCCCCCCCCCCCCCCGCCGGGCCAGAGGCTGGGCGGGCCCCCTGGGGACGTGGGGTACACCGTCTAGTTTGGGTTCCCCACCAGGTCTGTGTTAGTGCGCCCCCACCTCCTCAGCCAGCCCCCCGTGCCCCTGTGGCCTCTGCCAGCAGCCCCAGCCGTGCCCTCAGCCACCCGCTCCTCGCCAGCCCAGGAGCCGGGACGGGTGCCAGGCCAGCGCCCAGATTTCCGTAAACTGAGTTCCCACTTCCCGATGCAACGACCAGCCCTTCCCCACGCGGGCGCCCTCAGCGGCCCCCTCCCCTGCAGCGGATGCCCACAGCGGGGCGTGACGGCACTGGGGAGCTGCCGGGGCCACAAGGCAGGAGGGTGGCAGGGCCACAGGCGGCCGATTCCAGGAACCGGCCGTGGGCGGTGCATCTAGGGGTCAGGCTCCACAAAGATCCCCACTTCCGGGGCTGGGGGGTAAGAAGCAGCACGAGGCTAGGAAAAGCCAGGAGCCTCGGGCCTGGGGGTGCGGGTGGGGAGGGAGACCCAGCCCTCGCCAGGCCCCCCCTCGGAGAGGCGCCCCGGCTAGGCCGCACCTTTAACGAAGACGGAGCTGCCGCCCGTGTGGCTGTGGGGCCGCCGCCTGGAGACAGCGCCGGTGATGGGGCGCCCGCCCCGCCCACGTGACTGGAAATTGCTTCCATGTGTCTGCCGATCCCGGAGCCGCTCCCCACCCCTCCCCCACGTCCCTCCCCGCCCCCTCCCTGCAGTACTGCGGGCGGGTGGGGTGGGGGGATGGGGCTCGAACCCGCGCTTCCCAGCATGTCCCCGGAGCAGGACTCCTGTCAGCCCATCAAAGGCCCCTAGTCCACGAGATCAGAACCCAGCACACCCCTGCCCCCCGGCCCCCGCCCCCGGCCCCCGCCCCCGGTCCCCCGCCCTGGAGGACTGGGAGCACAGCAGCCGCTGCCCAGGGGGGTCCATCCTGCTCCGCGGGGAGCCCCCAGCGGGCCCCTTGATTCTGCCCACCCCAATGGCCAGAGGGCACAGGGACAGAGGGCTCCGCCCCCTCCCGCCTCGGGGCAAACCGTGGGATCTGCCCGGGGCCCCACGGGGCCCCACGGGAAGGAGGGGAGCCCAGTGGGCAGACCGCCCAGGCCTGCTGTGAAAAGCAGGCACTGCGGGGAGGGCCCGGGAGGCACCAGCCTTTCCTTCAGCCACGAAAAGGCTATCCAATATGGCGGCCACATGGATGGAGGCTTTAAAAGAATCGTGGTAAACTGCACACAACATAAAACTTACCCTGAGCCGTGACTGGCCCGGGCACGTTCCCGGGGTGGTGCGGCTCCGCCACCAGCTCCTGAACCTTCTCCTCTTCCCAAACCGAGACTGTGTCCCCATGACACCCCCCCTCCCCGCCCCCCTGTTCCCCGGGGGAGGGAGCCCCGGAGTGGACGGGCTGGGTCACCCAGAGCGCCTTGAACTTTCTGAGACACCGCCAGCCACCGCCACACGGGACAGGAGCCCTGGAAGGCAGTGCGCCCACGCAGCACGGACACGTTTACCCCGTCTTCACGGACACGCTTAGATCCCACAGGCGCAGCCCGGGTCCCGGCCAGCCTGCAGCTCCGCTCGCAACCGTGGAAACAGGCCCCAGAGCAATTCTGTTTCTGAAACGCCGCGGGGACGGGCCAGGCCACCAGCAGGCCTTCTTTGAATGGAACCTGTCACTGCACACTCACTTCCGGGATATGGGATTGGTGTCTGCTGTGTCCCCCCTACAGGCTGTGAGCTGGGGGGGGGGGGGGGTAGTGTGACCTCCAGAGCCCGATGGTGAGGGCATATGCGATCAAGACTCGTGGAATAGATGGGGGCCTGAGTCTCCCCCAGGGGGTGGCGATGGGAGGGGCGAGGGCTCTGCCACCCCAGCTGGCCTGCAGCCCCCTCCGACCGTGTCCCACCTCCCCAGGGACCCCTGCCTTGGCCTGGGCCTCGCTCTTGCCCTGCCGCCTGGCCGTTTTCGGTTGACACCCAGGTTTCATCCACGTTATTAATAGGACAGGGAAGTTCTCCGCGGAGAAGTGAGAGGTTTCACGTTCGCGTCCAAGATGGCCACACCCTGGTCAGTACACAGCCAGCGGCAGCCCCGTTGTTGCTCAGTGGACAGCGTATGCTCAGAGGAGCCTGGGGAATCCCTTGGGAGGGGATGGAGGGGGGGATAAACTGCACACCTGCTTCCCCGTCCTCTTGGGAGAGGGGCCCAGGTCTGCCTTGGGTAAGGGGACCAGATCGTTCCGCTTTTGGCGGGACAGTCCTGATTTTTAACAATTTTTCCTGAGTCCCGGCCTGGCTGCAGCTCTGCCCCACCCGCTGCCAGGCTCAGCGCAGGGTCCCGATTCCAGGCCCCCCCCCCCCGGGCCGGCTGCAGTTCTCCCAGGACTCTGGAGCTGATGTGGGCAGAGCCTGGCACACCTGCCACCCCGGCAAAGCTCCCGGGCAGACCAAGCGGAACAGATTATCCACGTGTCCCTCCCGGGCAGACCAAGCGGAACAGATTATCCACGTGTCCCTCCTCTTCCCAACACCACCTCCGGGTGAGCGAACAACACCCCCGGGCTCTCAGAGAGGACGCCCCGCTTCCGGTGCCAGCGGCTGGCGGAGGAGGAGCTGCATGTGCAGGTGGAGGAAGGAGGATGGGAGGCCCGGACTGGGAACCGCCCCGGAAGATGTTCGAGACACGGCTAAACACAACAGCGACGGAAAAAGATCCTGGCGTCCTACTAGACCAGGACCACAAGACCGGCTCATTCAACATATTCCGCGAGGGCCGACAGCAAAGGAGGGGACAGACCTGGCAGGCGCGCGATGAGGCTGAAGGAAAACGGTGGCAGCACAGAGGGCTCAGCCGCTCATCACCCAGAACCCCGGACAGAGGGCAGCAGTCCCCCGTCGGTAAGAAACAGCCTGGCAAACAGTCCAAGACTCGGGTGCGTGTCACAAACCCTTTTAAAAAGCTGTCAAAGGACTCCCTCCCTCAAAGCAATGGGTACATCCAGGGAGACGCCCACCAATCGATTTGGGCAATTTGGGGGGGTGGGGTGGTCACCAAAGAACCCCTACGTCCGAGGATCTCAATTGAAAAAAATAATTTAGTCTATTGTAAGGGGACCCGATTTTTATCGGGACTTTTAAAAAATGCTATGGGACAAATTGTTAAAAATCGGGGCTGTCCCGGTCTGGTCACCTTAGGGGGACTTACTTCTTATGTGCATTGTCTTCACTGAACTTTTATCAACACCAAAGGTCAGGGCTCTGTGGCCAGGGAAGGTGAGGAAAAGGTTAAAATGGTCAAATGTGGACAATTCATCAGAGAAGCAGGGGGAAGAGAAGGGGAGACCAGAGGCTGGGCCCTGTGTCTGGGGGTGGGCGGAACTGCCGGGGGCGGGGCTGCAGTGGCAGGAGGGGCTTTGGGTGGGCGGAGCCTTGGTGGACGGGGCTGAAGTGGTGGGCAGGACCACAGAAGGTGGACAGCGCTGATGATGTGGGCGGAGCCACGGTGGTGGGCGTGGCTTCTGGGTGGACAGTTGCTGGACATGGCTGAGGCGGCGGGCGGGGTCGAGGTGGTGGGCGTGGCTGCTGGGGCGGGAGGGGCTTCTGGGTAGCGGGGCCGCGGAGTGGGCGGGGCTGAGTGGTGGGTGGGGCTGCTGGGTAGGAGGGCCTCTGGGTAGGCGGGGCCGCGGGGTGGGCGGGGCTGAGGTGGTGGGCGGGGCCGATGGGCAGGCGGGGTCGCTGAGTGGGCGGGGCCGTGGAGTGGGCGGGGCCGCGGAGTGAGCGGCCACAGAGCCCGGGCGGGCGGGCGGGCGGGCGGCTTTGAACGGGACCTTTCCGGTGTCCCCATGAACCCACCCCGGCCTCCACAAACGCCTCGTAAACGTCACCGGGGAACTTCCTGTTCCTTCCAAAGCTGCAAACACTGAACACAAACGGCCAAGTTTTGTAAACGGCGCCGTGGGATCCAGGGCTGGGTTTTAACGGCGCGCAGGGCCCGTTTAACGCGATAAGTCACTCAAATCGAATTACACTTCACACGCTGTCCGGGCAGGAAACGTCTCAGCGCAGCCCGGCCGGGAGCGGGAGCCAGAAACCTGAGCCCGGGCCGGCCGGCAGCCCGGCTCCGAGGCCGGCACAAAGCGCTCCGGGCCGGGCGGACCTGCCTCTCCGAGGCCCAGCCTCCCTCCCCTCCTCCTGCCCTTTCCGAGAGGAAACCCGACCCCAAGCCGCCGGCCGGCGCAGGGTCCCCGCGGGTGGGACGGCGCAGGAGTCAGTCTCCCACGCCCCGGCCCGCAGGCCCTGGGAGGGGACAGCAGTGCGGCGCCCTCCCCGCCCCAGGCCCCCGCAGTGGAGGCCCCCCTTCCTCTGCCCGCCCTGCTCCCCCTCCGCCGCTCCCACCAAACCCT